AGCCCACCCTAGCTTTCTAGGTTCAGAGTGGCTCAATTAAAGGAAAGAGGGTCAGTACTAGCAGAGACCACTGCAAAGCTCCTTGTAATGAATAACCCTGAAAAAAAGAAAAAAAAAAGGCCCAAATCAGCATCAGAGGGCCATGCAAGAAACTGCGTTCCTGGGGAGCACCAGGTGCGATCCCTGAGAGCGCAGTGGGAGCATGGAGCCAAGCTAAACACGCTCTATTTTCACCCTGCGCACAGTTGTGCCCTACAATATTTATCATTTCCTTTTGCCACGTGACAGGCTCAGCGAGGAGAAGCAGCCCTTCGCCGACCACCTCTTCCCAGCACAGTGGGAAAGGTGCCGTGCTCCCCAGGGTGGCACGCCAGCCCCGCAGGCACCACTGTCTCCATCGGCACGGTCCGCTCGCTTCCGGATGTCACCAGCTCCAGCACAGCCTGCCTGGGGTCCCCACCCCTGCCGAAGCCTCCAGTGCATTTCAGATCAAGCCTACGGACAGTAAATTTGTCCCTCCCTGACTTCCAGAAAAATATACAGCAAAGATAGTCTGGCTTCTGGGTGCAGCTGTAGCATTTGAGCCCACAAACTTATGCACAGGCACTTCTTCCTAAGCAGGCAGCGTGATGTTAGAACTGAGGACATTTGGATCGGGTCCCCAGGCTGCTTTATAAACACACACCAGTGTGATTCCCTTCATGAAAAATGGGTTATATATAAAGTACCAGAGAGGAGATCTGCAGATGCCTGCAGTGAGGAGCCAGGCACGCTCCCCTGCCAAGAGAGCGGGCAGGATCCCGGGGGAGCGGAGCACAGACGAGGCTGCGTCCTCCCCGCAGGAAGCATTTAGAAGAGGCAGGCTCCTTCACGCATCATCTTCTCTCCAGGGACCTTCCTCACCTCCTTCTTGCTTCAGCTACAAACCCAGTGTCTTGCAGAGCTTTTCAGGCAGCTGATCGGCACAAAGCAGGAGGAGGTGTGGGCAAGGAGCCCCGTGCATGAGGGAGCTCCCAGCTTCTCAGCAGCACCTGGCTCTGCAGTCCTGGCATGAATGGTCAGCATTATGCCTGCCTATCTGCCAGGAGGAGAGCTCAGACCTTGAAGCTGCAAAAGATAGAATTAAAGCCAGTGAAAGAAAACCAGAGTGGCTGCAGGGCTGCGATTAGAATTACTGTCTGCAGCATTTCCCCCTGTAAAGAGGAGGCACTTTCTGCCTCTGCCCTGCAGCCTGTGGCAGTGCTGACTCACGGATCACAGGACAGTGACACCCCAATCCCTGTCCCAGCCAGCATGGTGGCCTCTCTCCCGCCCTGTGACCTCCAGCTGCATCCTTTAGTCGGGTAGCATCCAGTTGCAGGGTAGAAAAAGGCCACCATGCTGCATTGCAGTCCGCAGAGGCGTTTCGCTGCAGCCCTGAGTGCCCCAGGAAGAAGCCGTACTCCCTCGCTGCAGCCTGGGAGCACGCCTGCTTCCTTGGCCACAAAGCCAGGCATGCCAAGTGCTTCACCCAAGGGAAGATTTCATGGATGAAACACTTACCAGGTGCTTACCCTTACACTTACCCTCCAGAACATGGCCGTTACAGCCCTTCCTGTGCTGTGACCATGCCCGGGCAGCATCCCCAGCCAGTGGGGCCAAGTTCACCCTGATAGAGCTTTTCCCAGCTGGAGGGAATCAGCCTCAGCATCCCGTCCCTGCAGCTTTTACTACTGCAAAGTCTCTCCCAGCTGCTTGATGTACTTTCAGCTGGTGACAGGATGCCTCCCATCCATCTCCACCCTCTTCCCGAGAGTCCAGCCACTTCCAGTCTTTCTGCAGAGCAGGGATCTGGGCTGTGACATCTGAGGAGGTTACACCATATGGGGTATTCGTGTGGCACCCCACCACTGCCTGCCTCATAGTGTCACCGTCCTGCCAGCTGCCTGGCCACAGAGTCACCTTGGGCCAAAGAGCCTCCATGGCTGGGCATGACCAGCTGCATTCTTCCACCCATGATCACGAATCCCAGGGCTGACCCATCAGCTCCCAGTGCCTCACTTACTGGAGCAGCAGTAGGACACGGATGCGATGCTCCAAGAGGGATTCGGGCCGGACCGGACCAAAGCATCCCCAGCTGGCTACAGCCTCATGCCTGAGCCATGCGATGAGTTACACGGCTGTCTCTTTTTGTGCTAGGAAATCCAGAAAGGAATAAAGTCAACATCTTAAAGGCAGCGGAGGTTGCTAAGTGACAGCAGTGCTTGTTTCTATCCCACTGCTTACGGTGTGCCTACGCTGTGAAGGAAGGAAGTGAGGAGTAAGGGATGTAAACATGAGTATATTGCCAAAACACTCAACAGAAGCACAGTTGCCAAACATATACATTAGCTGCATGTTTTGGCTGCCAGGAGAGAGAAATATTTACTACACATCGATTATTCCAGCCTTGGAGCATTTTACCTGCACGGGATTTCAGGTATATGCAGTACTCATTAATTTACCAATTTTCCAGCTGAAATGTATTTCTGGACCAAACTTGTAGGGCTGTCAGTAGCTGCAAGGACAGCTGCAGTGAACTGAGATTTCATCCTTACTTTGTTTCAAATAGATGGCTTTTGTTTTCCCACCAGGATGTGGCGTTACACAGCGATTAGGGAGCACAGCAGAAAGGCAGAACTGGACAAGGGAGGGATGAACGCAGCCTTTGTATGAGCTCCTGGGGCAGAAAGGAGATGGTTTTGGTAAAATAAAGGGCATACACACAAACCTATGTGATTGGAATTATGTTGAGAATTGAAAACTAGGTTAAGAATAGACCAAATGCAGCACTGCTGATCCAGTTGAGAAATTTCCCATGCTAAGCTGGATGGATAATAGATATCTTTCGAAAAGTGCTCATCACAGGGGAGCTTTAGAAACTCACTGCATGGGGGCAGGCAGATGTCCACCCAGCTCAAGCTCCAGCCTTGTCTCTCCCATTGACCAGAGACCACGTGCCACCCCGGACACACTACAGTGCAGAGGAGCAACCGGGTGGTGCGCAACGTACGGAGGGCACGTGCTCATGCTGCCATCCTTTATCTGAGACAGAGAGCAGGCCAGCCCTGCTCTCCAGCGCCTGGGAACCATCAAAAGCACTTATTTTAAAAAAGCATCTGCTTGCTCTGCATAAAAGCAGGCCAGTCCAGGGAGAAAGTAGGGCACTGATTTGTACCTCTGTGTGAAGGAGAATAAGGCAAGGAGCACCAGAGAAGGGATCTGAACAGAGTGGTTTCCAAAGCAGAACCTGCTGGCAAATTAAAATTAAAATATAGCCACAGCTGCTGATTGGAAGGACATGCTTGCTGTCAGCACGGCTGCCATAGTGCCTCCTGGGCACAAACAGCTGCGTCTCCTGCATCAGCGTGGTGGCCGTGGTAACCACCAGTTCAGGGGTGAGAGCTCTTGGGGTGTCCTTATGAGCATGGCCATTCCCCATGGCCCCCATGGGGCTAGGGAACTGCAAACCCTTGGGCTTGCACACCCTCTTGCTCGGCTTTACAAACAAAGGAGGGTTTCCTGCGGGTGGAGGAGAGATGGGTGCTGCTGAGGGAGCAGAGGCTGATGAGCAGCAGCCCCCCAACACCCTGGCGGGACAGGGTGCGCAAGCTGCAAAGCTGGCGAAACAGCTCCGGCGGCGATGCTGAGACGTGGCTGCTGTTGCCCTCACACCCACAGCTAGGTCAGAGCCCTCCCAGCACTGCTTCTGGCATGTTGTTACCACCCTGGGCTGTGGAAAGGTGGCTGGGGAGGATTCGCTTCAGGAAGCAGCCGCCAGAAATGTCCTCAACTCAGTGTGCCAGCAGCAGAAGGGAACACAGGGTGAGAGTGCAGAGGCAGTGGCAAAGCATCGTGGTGCCTGAACAGGTTATCACCCTGATGTCTGCAAGCTGATCACTTTGGTACCATGTCTCAGACTCATTCTGGTTCCAGCTGTTGCAGGGAAGAATGGTAAGCCCCGCACAAATGGATTCTGCTGAATGTGGGAGCACCAGTGGGTCAGCTGCTCTGTAACCAGCCAGTATGCATGGGTCAGCTCTTCAGCTAAACCTTGCAGGAAGGCATCAGGCTTTGAAACCCTCAGGAGAGACAAAATGAGCCGCTTGGGCAGGAATGGGGTGCTGTAGGAACACCCCGATGGGTATTTTCCTGCTGCCTTTTCAGCCTGCGGGAAGGCTGACCTGCACCAGCTGGGTGAGCAGGTTGGTGTGCCCAAGGACCTGAGTGTGGGGCTGGGTCCCTGCTGGCCCAGGGGTGCAGGGGGGAGAAGAAGGGCTGGGAGCCCATGGGGTTACAGGTCCCAGCTCACAAGGGTGATGGCTGGAGACATGCAAAAGAGGGGCAGGCACACGGTGGGGTCCAGTCTGGGGAAGGGGAGAGGGGGCAGTGGGGTAAAGGGGCACCTGCCTGCCCCAGGGCTGTTCCCTTGAGGAGTGGAGGTAACCGTACCTTTTCCAGGGGTACTGGACACTCCAGAAATAAGTCTAACAAAGCACCATGGGCTTCAGAGCACTTTATTTTCACAGCGCTCAGACCACCCACACACATCCACAACCAGGCTTGGGTCAGGGCTGGGGCCCTGCACAGACACCAGTGAGCAGGGATGCTGGAGATGCTGGAAGAGGCAGCATTGGAGGGAAGGAGCCGTGCTGGAGAAAGGGATGGTCAAGAGGGGTGTTTTTCCCACAACAGGAAAGCAACAGAGACAGATCCAAACCCACAGTCCTGCCAGTCCCGCAGTACCTTCCTCCCATCACCACCCCAACGCTGCCCCTCGGGCTGCACAGCCCTCCACCGTCCTGGACCTGCTCCTGCGGAGCCTCGCTGCAGGGAGCACCTCCCCGTGCCAGTCTCATCCTTCAGGCAGACCCAGGCCAGCACCGGCCCCCCAAGGGCAGCAGTCCCAGCCACGGGCACCCCTCTGCTCCAGGGCCACAGAACTGATGCAAGGACCTCTCCAAGTGGCATTGTAGCCCCTCTCAGAGGATCTTGACAGCCTGCAGCATGTCCGCCAGCACGTATGAGCTGTCCCAGGGGCGCCCAGGCTGCCGCAGGGCCCTCTCCAGTGTGCGGGCACGTGCCCCCAGCTCTCTGGGGTCCCGCCGGCCCTCGGGGCTGGGCTGGCAGAACAGGATCTCATTGACCTCCCCTTCAATGTGGCGTGTGTAGAGCAGGGGGAAGACCTCCCTGAGGGTGGCCAGGACAGACTCCTTCAGCTGGGCATCGCGGCACACCAAGTTGAGCACGAAGACTCCTACACAGCAGGGTGAGAAGGACGAGAGTTCAGACCAGCCCGTGTACACTATCCTGCTCCCCACGCTCCTGTGGGAAGCGGCTGAATTGGTGACACCCTGGTGCAAATGCCTCCCTGGCAGCAGCACGAGGAGTACCGGCACCCCCCAGTGCCCTTGGCTAAACTCCACGTCCCTGCCGCCATGCGGGTCGTGGGTGGCCACAAAATCTGTTCCCAGGTACCACCTACACCCCCTGCCTTCCTGCAGCCTTTCTTGGCCCCCCGGCATGTCTCAGCCTGCCTGACCCAGCAGCGCCGCAAGCCACCCACTCCACTCTGCTCCCTGCTGTCACAACACCCACTGAAACACCCAGATCGGGGACCTGCCAGGAGCGGCAGATGCCACGCAGCAATCCTGGCCACAGCTTCTGTTCTCCACCACGAGAAACAGTGGCACAGCCCCATTCCTCAAACCTCGCACAGGACCTGCCAGACCAGCTCTATGGACATAGCTGGATCTTCCCTCATACCTTCTGGCTTGAGGATGGTTTTAACCTTCTGCAGAAAGGGCTTTTCCACAAAGGCTGGGGGTGGGCAGCTCATCCCCACCGTGAGGTCTTTGCTGTCCACATCGAACATGATGGCATCGTACTGGGCTTGGGCTGCAGGAGAGAGCGCAGACTTGGTATTCCATGGGACAGAGATGAGCCATGCACAGTGTGGAAGCAATGAATGGGGTGGTCAAGACACCCCCTCTGCCCTGTTACAGCCGCTTCTCTCTCCTGAGGTTTCTTTTTCTAAATGAAACCCATGGCAGCAGCCCTCGGCACTGGGGAAGGTAGCAAATCTAAGGTCCCCTGCACACGTTGGCAAGGACAGCTCTGGAAGTTGCAGAGACCTGGTGAGGCTGGAGCTCATGACACGTGGCAGGAGACAGGCAGGGACAGGAAGCAGAGGGTGAAAGCAGCCCAGGACTCTGGTCCCCAGCATGTCACCCACTGGGCTCGATGGGGCACCCGGGATGCTCTGTGAGATGGTACCTTCAGCTGCCAGCTTGGCCACATAGTCCAGGCCATCAGAGACATGCACCCGCATCCGGTCGCCCTGGGAGAAGCCGAACCAGCGTGTGGCCACCTCCAACATGGAGGGGTCGATCTCCACCACAGCCACATGGGCCTGCAAGAAGTAGTCGTGGACGAAGAGCGGCAGGCTGGCTCACCACTAGCACTGCCAGCAGAGCTCCTGCCAACAGAGAGCACGTAGTGAGCCACCAGGATGGACACATTTGTCCCACCCGCCAGCCCCAAACCACTTTGGGAAGGGTGCACAAGGCACCTTGGCCAGGAAAGCCCTTCCCCAAGGAGCTGGGATATAGGGACACATGCGTGCCCACCCCCCGCACAGCCTCCCACTGCCAGCATTGTCACCTGGGAGGGGGTCAGAACCCCCCAGCAGGCAGAGCCCGGCGACCATGGCCTTGTGGTGCTCACAGCACAGGTAGCTCTTGTCAATGTCTGCAGATGGCTCAGCAGGGGTGGGTTTCCTCTTGTCTTTCCTCCGTTTCTTCTGGCCTGAACAACAGGAGGCATTGGCTGGTAAGGCAACGTGGGAGCTGGGGTCTTGCTGG